TCACTTGCTGCTCAACTGGATTAGGCCAGCAAACACTTGGGTCCAAACTTTGGTGGTGCGAACTTTGCTGGGCTGGGCTGGGCTGAGCTGGTCTGCACGGTATCAATTTGGATCCTTTTTGCAACGGTCCACTACTGAAATGGATAAATGATTGAACCCCTGCTCACACACTTCCAGCGAGAGCAACCGAGATGGAGAGACGTAGAGATGGAGCTTGAGCTCGGAGCGTGAGCTGAGTCCCCAACATTGATTACCCAAAACTAATTTGAATTTTATTGATTCAATTCGGCGTGGCTGTGTCTTAGCAGCCCATTTACCAGATTCCTATTTCTTGGACTTCCCCCCTCCAGCTAGTCAGCAGTCGATGCTTGGCTTTTATCTGCATCTGTCCTTGATGATGTGTTGATGATATGCCTGAGCCTAATCTGCCTTGGTCCAGCCCCCTCCGGCCCGGCTCGTTGAAGGATCTCTGTGCGAAAAGGATTGACAATGCCTTCGATTTTTGTGGCATTCCCGGTCATGTCCCGGCTTAGGCTCTAATACAACAAAGTGTATTTTAATATGTTAAACGCATATGGCGATTGAAATCGCATTATCCACGTTTCTTTGATTCGCTCCGGTCCAGCCCTGGCCCACCCTCAGCATTTTTAACATATTGACATACCCAATTATTGGACTTAGCTCCTTTACATGCCACACCACATACCAACACCGACTTATCCCCAAAATTGCTGGGCAAAACAGCTGACAAAACCTTTTTGGAATAGAACGAGGCAATCGTAGCTGTAGACTAATGTGGTTAGAATAGATTCTTAATGTTGTACTCCATGCCAGCTGAGGACAGACTTAAGATGTATAAGGTAAGGGCTAACCTGATGCGCTCCAAGCTGTATGGAAGGCAACTTCTGTTTAGTATCTGCCTCGTGTGTGTTCTCCATTACCTGAGCATCGCTGCTGATGAGACTCTTTGGTGAGCTCGTGGTGTAGCTGACGATAGAATTTTATGATGATGGCCTCAAGTGAGCACTACTCTAGCTCTTCCTCTCTCTCTTAAGTGAGAAACATGCCAAGAGTTTTGGCTATCACTGTAAAGCATCAAATATGACTATAGTTCGCTGAGTAACCAGGCCGAAATTAAAGGCTTGCAACCTGCGTCATGCCGCAAGCGAGTTGACAATTTACAGTGCGACGCTCGTGTTGAATAAACAATATTTTCTATGCGCCGCTGATAAATGTTGACGGTGCACAGCTGTGTAATTATTCAGAGGCACACAGTATTGCATAACAGTAGGCGCTGGTAACTAGGTGTGCCTTGTGTCTACATACGCCCAACATGTGTGTGTGCGTGTGAGAGTAGATTGAAGCGATAAAGATTTGGCAAATAGACCAGCTGTGTGTGTGTGTGTGTGTGTGTGTGTCGCAAACATCATCTACACGAATAATTAAACCCGAAATATGAAACTTGATTAATTTAATATTTACAGAGAGTTGCTCGCTCTCTCCCTCTCACTCTTGCATCTCTTTCTACGCATTTCTTTCTGACTGTGGCAAGGAAACGTGCTTTAACACTCGCATGCGTGTGCGTGTGTGTCTGTGTGCGTGTATGAATTTCAATGTTTGTTTAGCTAATAAATTTTCGGGCTAAAGTAATCAAATAATTGCCAAATGTACGAAAAACACAAGAGCATAAGAATATGGCTTGTTTTATTGCCATTTTATTTGGCAAAATTTACGAGCGGCCAACAGTTTCGGTAGCCTTTTATATCGTCCCAATGAAAGCAACTACAACAACAATACCAATAACAATAATAACAACAGCAACAACAGCAATAACATGGAACTTGGAACTTAGAACTTCGAAGTTGGAGCATAATAAAGTACTCCCACCAGACAGAGCTGGGCAGGAAAGCAGAAGAGCATAAGCCGAGCTCGAAATCATGTAACCGTATATTGATGACGATGTTCCTCTAATGATGCCGCTTGACTTGACAAATCGCGACTCCCCACAGAGTGGAGTAGAGAAATGAGGTCGAACGGATGAGCAATTAACTCTGGAATGTGCCCTTCCTTCAACTCAAGTTTTGAAGGCGGACACCAAAAGCAAAAGGCCTTCTCGCATGAGCTAAAGTATAGTCGTGTCAAGGCAATTGATATATAGATATGAATTGCATATCTAAGTATATGAAATACAAGACAATTGATTTCTATTACCGCAGACATTTATAGGAAATTTTATAGTTAAAAGAGAACAGACTTTGATATAAGGAAAATTGTTAGAATGTGTATTGATAGCTTAACTTATGCCCTGCTCTCTCTGCCACTCACTCTTAGCTTGCGGCTGCAGCAAATCAAAGTCAAGTTCCCATTGGGCGTATTATTGAGCTATAAAATGCTCAATTGCTTTGATCATTTCATAGTTTCGCCTTTTTATGACAGAGTCATAATGTCTCACAGAATACGCCTATCAAAAGTAAGCCTCAGGTAAGTGGCTCCAATTACTCCAGCTGCACAGAGAGCCTGGTCAGAGGCAACTTCGTATCACTGTGAATGTGCTGTATCGAAACTAAGTTGCATTGATTTCAATAATTCATATTGTTTAACTTGGCCCTCAACTAACTAGCTGGACTGCTGTACCAAGAGCTGCTTAGCTGCAGCATAATTGTGATTGAAACAACAACTGTTCACAATTTAGTGATAAGCTCAATATTTTCAAGCCTTTTTGAAACGAATATTCGGATTAACAAATTTATTTTTAATTTGGATGGTTTATTGATTCCGAAATGAGCACTTCAGAGCTTGCGACACAAAAACTATCAAAATTTAGTTGTTCATAAAAATAGTAGTGCTTGAGGGTTTCAGAAAGAAACAACTAGGAGATACTCTGAAACCAGTCCTATCTGTTTTTTTTATAACTAGACAAATAAAAGCCGACATGGAGATTCGAATCCACATCGCCCACACAACGCACATCAACTCAGGGCTACATCGACTTGATCGTCATTCTGATCAAGAAGATATATACTCTATACCGTCACGCCTGATTTTCCATTTTCAATGGGTTATAAAACTCTCAAAATTCAGTTGTTCATAAAAATAGTAGTTATACTCTAATTTCATACTTTATGAATCGCTAAGGTCCTGACAAGGCTTCACAGGAATCTGAACAAATTGTAGTTTGTACTTGAAGTTCTATGTGCAGCCTGTATATACGCTCAGCTAATGTTGTAAAAATATTGTTGTTGTTGTTGTTGTTGTTGTTGTTGTTGTTGTTTTCACTAAAAATCAAACACAATCAAAGTCACAAAAATCAAGATGTTATACTTTTGCCGTCGCTCTATAGATTCTGTTAAAGTTTGCACAAGAGAAATTGATTACCCCGAACTATGGCCATGTGGGCGTAACTTGGGTACGGCCTGGGAGTGGGCGTAACATAAATAAAAGTCTATTTAAGCGTATCGCTGTTGAAATTGTGTCATGAACTCCAGAAAAAAGAAGACGCGACACAATCTTATGCTTT